AAGAATTTTTCCTTTTACTTTTACTTTTCCAAGAAGGTAGTGTACTGGGGGGGGGGAGGGTTGGCAGGGGAGAAATCTGCAATAATGAATGAATGGAAGTCCAAAGTCTCTGTAAATTTTTACTGAAATTAATAATAAATTTAAATTAAAAAAATAGAAATAAAACTACATACTACTGCTGGGAAAAGATGCTGTCAAGGACATATTTAAACTGTGGAAAAATAAAGATGTTACTTTAAAGAATAAATTGTACTAATCCAAGGCATGATTTTTCAATTATTTCAGTTGAATGTTTAATCTAGATACTGATATATACATATAGATTTAACAGTATATGAAAGTTTACACAATAATTCAACATAACAATAATAGTTGGGTAACTATTATGTCCAGTACTAGGGTAAGTGCTGTAAAGTGGTATAATAATAATGGGGCTGAGTTTTTAAGGCATCACACTAGCCCTCACAGTAGAAATGTACTCCCTGTAGAGCAGGGTCAGTATTTTTTCACAGCAAAACATCAGATAGCAAATAATTTCTGTTTTTCTGGCCTTTTAGTTGTAATACCAGTGCAGCTACTGCTCTAGTTCCAAACTAGCTACAGACAATATATAAGTAAACAGATGTAGCTGTATCCAATAAATTTATTGATACAGAAATTTTAATTACATATATAATTTTCCTTGGAGGCAAGGATTCTGGGGCTTCGTCTGACATACTTTGGACATGTTGCCAGGAGGGACGTGTCCTTGGAGAGGGACATCATGCTTGGGAGGGTTGAGGGACAACGCAGGAGGGGAAGACCCTCTATGAGATGGATTGATTCGGTGACTGGGGTAATCGGGATGGGTGTGTCAGAGGCAGTGAGGTTGGCGCAGGATAGAGCAGGGTTTAGGGCTGTTGTGCATAGGGTCGCTATGAGTCGCAAACGACTCGACGGCACGTAACAACAACAACATATAATTTTCACGTTTCAAAAATATTCTTTTGACTTTTTAGGGTTTTTTAATACAAAAACCATCTTAGCTAGAAGATCATACAAAAAAGCATGCGTCTGGCTGTATTTGGCCCATTGGTCATATTTTGCTGACCTTTGATCTAGAGCATTGACTCTTAAACATGATTCTATTAAGAATCACCAAGAAAGTTCTTTTGAAAATATGAGCACCTAAACCTTGCTCCCAAATATGCTCATTTAATTGATCAGAAGTGGAACCTAATTTTAAAACCTCTACAGTTTATTCTGTTGTGTAGCTAGGTTTGAGAATCATTAATTTAAAATTAAGAATCAATGGAACTTTCATAGATGAGATGACAAACATGTTAGATTTAAATACAAATAAGTTTAGAAGTCAGCGTGACCAAGATTCAGTATATAATTTTCTAAGTATCAGAGACCCAAGTTGGCTATGTCAGTTCTATTAGTCCACATTCTGGTAAGCCAGAAAGAGAGAGAAGAGCAAACCCTCTCCTAATAACCAAAGTGTCTCAGAAGTTTTACATCCAGTTTTTCTTTCTTTTCATTATTCAGACCCAAGGTAGAGGTAGTAGATGATTCCTAAATATAAAATATTCTGAAACAATGTAACTTTGACCCAAGATAGCATCTACTCTTAAAAATCATATGCTGTGTAATTAGTATTATATAATGAAATGCATATGAATGCTTAAATGAAAGACCAACTAGCTTTGAAAACTTTCACTCAAGTAACAATAACAAGTAATTATTATAGATAAAAGGAAGCAAACAAAAATAACAGGCTCAGAGGTTTAAAATTAAATTATAATAGGTGACACTGTGAGTAACTAATGAAGAAAAAGGATGCATGAGATTGTCAATAAAAGTTCTGGATGTACCAAGAAAATGTTTTTTATCATACAGATTTTCTCACTACTTATGTTTAAGAGAGTTTAGGTGACCTAGTGAGTAAGGAATTAAGCTTCCCACCCAAAAGCAGGTGACTGAAATCTAGTAGCTGCTCTATGGAAGAAAGATGGTCAATTTACAGCCTCTGAAAACCACCTAGATGGCCAGCTATTGAGTCAGTTCTGATTCAACAGCAATGAGTTTTGGACTTCTTGGAATTTTTTTCTGTTTAAGGACAGCATTTCCAAATATCCCTGTATCAACTATACAAGACAACTACTGGCTCCCAAAATAGCAGCTTTCTTTTTGAGGAATAGGAAATAAAAGAAAAAGCATCAGATTCTAGGTAAAAATAATAATACCTTCTCAAAAATCTAAGTTTTTTGCTTTGCTTTCTTACTTCTTACCCAAAGGTTAGAATGTAAATATTTAAGTTACTCTTTCTAGACTGTCTTCTCAGTGCCAAGCTTAATGCTGACTCTGTCTGTGGAAAGGCATCTCTTTTGCTCCTCAGATATAAATTTGGAAGATTTTAGTACAGAAAACCTACAAGAGGTTAAAGAAGCCAAGGAATGAACTAAGAGTATTTAAAGCAATCCAAAATCAAGGACTGCAGTTTTCAATATGGATTGAAGCTCAACATCAAGAAAACAAAGATTCTCACCACTGGGCCAATAGGCAGCACCATGACAGATGGATAGGAGATTGCGATTGTTAACAATTTTAATTTGCCCAGCTCCACAATGACCGCTTTTGACAGCAGCAGTCGGGAAATTAAAAGATGAATTGCACTGGTGAGAATTTGCTATCAGAGATCTCTGCAGAGTACTGAGGAGCAATGGTGTCAATCTAGAGACTAATTAGGTGTGCCTGATCCAACCTATGGTCTTCACTATGTCTTGCTATGAATCAGAGAGCTGGACAATAACTAAGGATGACAGAAGAGAGATGGATTGATATAGTAACTGTGGTCCTGGGGGTAGAACAGAGACAGTGAGGCTGGTTCAGGTTAGGGCAGGGTTCAGAGATAATAGGGTCACTCTGAGTTGCAGTCAACTCAATGGCACATAGCATACAACAATATCATCTAAGATAACTACAGTCAGGAATGGAAAATATACTGGTTTCTTCTTGAACCAAGTTCTTGGCAAATAAATCGTTATGTTTGGGAAAGATAATTGTAAAATCATGTAGGACTACATCAATATCATCTAAGATAACTACATTCAGGAATGCAAAATATACTGGTTTCCACTTGAACCAAGTTCGTGGCAAATAAATCGTTATGTTTGGGAAAGATAATTGTAAAATCATGTAGGACTACATACACTAATATTATTACCGACTAAAATAAGGAAGACAACTCTTTTAGTTAAAAGTGTGCTTTCTCATTGTAAAAATATAAAAATAGATATGAATACATTACTTTTTATGGCATTTTAAGACTAGTTTTAAGTTAGTATTTATAAATAACAGAGCAGATAATTGGGCTTTTGTTGTCTAGAACTCCTAACTGTAGCTCCGAATGTGACCTACATTATTTGATAATAACACTCAGATTCTATAGCATAAATTTATATATTTGCCTAGTTCCTAGGTTGGGAACTCTGTTGGCCTAGTGGCAAGAAGCTGTGCTACAAATCCAAAGGCACATGGTTCAAGGCCACCAGCCAGTCCTCCCGGAGTGCATGGGAAATCTCCTGTGCAGTTAACTGCTTCTGAAAACCTGTTAGAGGGTCGGTCATCTATGGGTCGGTTCCAATTCAAGAGTACACAACAACCACCACGTTACGGTTATATTAGAAGGACTACTACTAAACCACATGCCTCCGGAAGCTCCATGAACTTGGAGAAACGACGATAGTTATGGAAAGACATTAAGTCTTTTGTTGATAGAGTTGCTATGAGTCCTGCTCAACTAGACAGCAATTAATAACAGTCTTTATGAGAGTTCCAAACACAAAACCTGGCACTTTAAAACTTTTGCATAAATCTTTCAGATCCATTTTGAGTTGTTTATTAAGTGCAGCTGAATCAGGTCCCATTAAAAGGGAACCTTTGCACAACAGAAAGAAATCCTGCCCGATTCTGTGCCAAACTCACAATCTCTGCCGTGCTAAAGCTCATTGTTGCCGTCACTGTGTCAATCTTTCTCACGGAGAATTCTCCTCTTTTTTACTGACCCTAAACTTTTTTCCCAAGCATAATGTCCTTTTCCAGGAATCAGTCCTTCCTGATAATATGTCCAAAATGTATGTGAAACAAAGTTTGATTATCACTGCACCTAAGGCTGCACTTGTCCTAAGATAGATTTGTTTGTTCTTTTGGCCATCTGTGGTATATTCAATATTCTTTGCCAATGCCATATTTCAAAGGCATCGATTTTTTTATTTGGTCTTCGTATTCACTGTACTACTTTCACAGGTATAGGAAGCAATTGTCAGTATCATAGCTTGGGTAAGGTGCACTTTGGTCTTTAAGATTATACACTTGTTCTTCAGCACTTCAAAGAGCAGATTTGCCTAATGTAATAATATGATTTCTTGACTTTGCTTTCAAGGATAGTGCTTGAGATTTTAAACAAAATTGAATTCTTTACAACTTCAGTCTTTTTTCCATCCATTGTAATGCTGCTTATTGGTATAGTTTTGAGGACTTTTTAAATCTTGATGTATAATCCAAACGCTATTGTCTTTTCTTTTCATCAGCAAGTCCTTAAGTTTGGTCTTCTGAAAACATGGCTAAGTCATCTGCCTATCTTCCAATGTTGAAGTGTAATCCATGTATCTTGGCTAAGGTTAAAATTTAGTTATTGTTGTTTTACGTCAATGAGTCAGAACTAACCAATATCTGACACTCCAGCAGATTTTCAGAGGCAGTAAATCGAAGCAGAAAAGTTTGCCCATTCTCCCCATGAAGCAAGTGGTGAACAACGTGCCTTTGGGATTGCAGCACAAATTTTTACCCATAGGTTCCAACTACTCTTTCCCTTTAAATAATCCCGGAACATCAAGACAATTTAAATGCTGAGTTAACAAAAATTTCATCAGGTTATTCTGTTTCATTTGCTTTTCATGGAAATAAAAATTGTTACTCAATGAGTATAGTAAAAGTTATTCTTCTTCTCTCCTCAGGTAGCACACCTTTCTATTATCATATCAGCTTTAAAGTCAATAACATTGACTATAACAGCAAATTTGAAAAACCATATTCACAAGAATATATGGACCTAAATAAAAAGGTAGTGTCTCTGGTAAGTAAAATATTTTTCTACAGATTGTCTTTATTGTGTTCTTCTAGAAATGCTAGAATCAGATAGTTCACCTGTCACATGAAAAAGACTAGAGAATTTTTAAGTTCTTTCTAACCATTATCTTAGTAGCACTATAGAAGGACAATCCTTTAGCAAATCAACTCAATGCGTTTGAGTTTTGGTGGTGGATAAGAGCTTTGAACATACCATGAACTGCCAAGAGAACAAAAAGGTCTTCCCAAGTGAAGGTGAAACCACGTCGCTTATTGAAGGCAAGCATTTTAAAGCTCCGTAGCACATGTTTAGAGCATATTGTCAGAAAGGATCTGTCCTTGGAGAAGGACATTATGCTTTTAAGGGTGGAGAGACAGTGCAGAAAAGGTAGGTATTGATGAGAAGGATTGACACAGTAACTGGGGTTATGGTGGCAGGTGTGACAGAGACAGTGAGATTGCCTCAGGATAGGGCAGGGTGCTACTATGTTATTGTGCATAACGTCACTATAAATCATAGGCAACTCAATGGCACATAACAACCATCAGCCCTCTTAAGAAATCACTTAGAGAATATGTAAGATAGAAAACTCTTGCTCCTTGCACTGGAGCGAAATTCCCTTACCCCCCTCCATCAAATTGTACAATCCCCTAATTAATGTCCCCTCCCCCTGTACATCCTCATCCCTCTGCTTCCATTCTCCCCCCTTGGATCCTCATATTCATTTTACATAAATTATTTTATAGAATATTTGTCCTTGTGGGACGGAATCAGTTCACTCAGCATAATGCTCTCCAGTCCCAAGTTAGGTAATAATTTACAAAACCATTGTTCCTGTGTGCTTCGTAATATTCCATTGTGTGAATGTACCATAATTTCTCAATCCATTCATTTGTAGTTGAACATCTGAGCTATTTCCATGGTCTTGTGATGGTGAATAACACTGTTATGAACATTGGTGTACAAGTCTCCATTTGTGAAAACAACGTATTCAAATTTTGTGAATAAACTAGTATAATAATAAAAAATATTTTTAAAAAATCAACCAATGGGGGAACAAAATCAGGGAAAATGTAAAAAAAAAAAGCCATGGCATAAATTAGTTTCACTTTAGCCTTCAAACTTAGTACTCTGGAGAGGTCCTTGACAGCAGACTTTCTCAATGCAATACAGCCTCTGATTAAGTGCCAAGGTAGTTGATTGTGGGTCCAAGCAAAATGAAATGGATAATAGTTTCAATCCTTTCTCCATCATGATCTTCCTGATTGGCCTGGTGATAAAGACTTTTGTCTTCTTGATGTTAAAGTGTGATCTATATTGAAGGCTGCAGTCGTTGATCTTCTGCAACAAGTGTTTCAATTTCTCCTCATGTATATGTACAAATATATTGATGTGTGAGGGGCTATTTCTTGGAAGGGGACATGATACTTGGAATGTGGAAGGTTGACAAAGGAGAGAAAAACCCTCAACCAGGTGGATTTACACGGTAACTGCCACAGTGGGCTCTAGTATGTTAGAAAGTGTAAGGATGAAAAAGGATCGTGTTCAGATCCGCTGTTCCTAGGGTTGCTATGGGTCGTATCAGACTCGATGGAATGAAACACAACAAATGCATCCAACATTCACCTATACACACTGGAATAATAACAGTCAGTTTAAGATTTGTAATAGTATAGAAAATAACAAAAATGAGTTTTGGCAATTTCTGTGACAATGCTTAATTTTTTACTGAGTATAAAATTTGTGTTAGGCATTATGCTTTTAAGTATATCTTTGCTTTATCATTTTTTAAATATCAAAAATCTTGATAAGATAGCCATGATTATTAACCTTATTAAATATATGTGGAAATTCAGAAGAATTAAACTATTAATAATAATCTAATTATTTATTTAAGATTATTATTTAATTTTACTTATGTATTAAATAATTAATAAAACAATCTGTGTGCAGTCTCATAGTGGTAAATGATAGAGAGAAATAATGACTCATGAAACACACTACACTACATCTCATAATAAAAGAGACTGACACATGATGCTAAAAACCAAATACACTGCCACAGTCAATTCCAACTTATGGCCACTCTTCATTGGAATTCTGAGGCTATAAATATTTACAGAAGGAGATTTCTCATCTTTCTTCTAAGAGCAGTGGGTAGATTCCATAACCATTCTTTGGTTATCAGTGTAATATGTAATGCACCAACTTTGATATAATGATATGATAAAATATAATATACGTTGTTGTTGTTGTTGTTATGTGTCATTGAGTTGCTTGTGACTCATAGTGACCCTTTGTACAACAGCTCTGAACCCTACTCTATCCTGAGTTTTTTATTGTCTCTGACACACCTACCCCATTACCCCAGTCAATGAATCAATCTGTCTCATCAAAGGGTCTTCCTCTCTGGCACTGTCCCTCCACCGTCTCAAGCATGATGTACCTCTCCAAGAACTGGTCCCTCCTTGCAACATGCCCTGAGTATGTCAGACAGAACTTCAAAATTCTTGCCTCCAAAGAACAGCCTGGTTTCACCCTCTCCAGACAAACCTGTTTGTTCCCTTCGCTATTCATGATATATTCAATACTCCTTTCCCCCAGCACCACAGCTCAAAGGCATCAATTCTCTGATGCATAGCAAATAATTATGAAGATCATGCCCTGGATAAGTTGCACCTTAGTCTCTAGACTGGCATTATTGCCCTTTCGTACTCTGGAGAGGTCCCTGACAGCAGACTTTCCCAATGCAATTCATCTTTTGATTTCCTGGCTGCTGGTACCAAGAGTGTTGATTGTGGAGTCAAGCATACTGAAGCTGTTAACAATCTCAATCTCTTCACTTTCTAGCTGGTCAACAAATATTTTTCATGAATTCATAATTCAATAAACACATATTCCACTCCCAACATACCTGTCCATTTTCATGTTCTTTCTGTTCATGAAATGAAGTTCTTCAAACAAGAGAAATCAGATATAGAAGAATATAGTCCAACATACCTTGGAACTCATCAAAGTGAAGTTTGTGAAACACCTATCTGAGAATGATTTGTTTTAAGTTCACTTTTTCCTGACTAAATATTCAGCAAAGAAGCTTGACTGTCTTTTGTCAGTAAGATTTTATTGCCACAGATACCACTAAAAATTAACTCATGTAACCTTACCAACCAAACCAAATTCTGTCAAGAACAGTGATAGCATCATTCATCTCTAATTTCTTGACATATTTCTGACATCTTCTGACTAGCTGTATAGGATTCTAATTTGTGGTCTCTCTATAACATCTTCTAGTTTCTCATGAAAATAGATTCCTGGAAAATGTGACATGTTTTAACATCAACTCCCTCTCACTGCCATAGAGTCAACAGACTCATAGATCCTTTGGTAGGCTTTCAGAGGCTGTAAATTGCATGAAAGAAGATTGTCCATCTTTCTCTCTCAGAGCAGTTGGTGGATTTAAACCACCAGCCTTTGGGTTAGCAGTACAACTTCTTACACACTAGGCCCCCAAATTTTCATTATAGTGAGAATAAATGTAGAAAATGGAGGCATAAAGTCTCCAATTGGAGTTTAATTTCTGAATAAAAGGAAATTATGAGGACATGTTATAGTATAATAGTTAGGAAATAGGCTTTAATTATGTAACGTGAACTAACTCAGCCCCATAAGGACAAATACTGTATAAGACCAATATTGTAGAAATATAAAGATAACTAGTAAAACATGTATGAAGATCCAAGGTGGGGGGAGGGTGGGAGCAGAGGGCTGAGGATGGGTAGGGGGATAATCATAGGATTGCACAATTTGATAGCTTGAGGGAGGGGTAGATAAAGGAAATGGGAAAAATCCGGTGTGAAAAATAATGTATATGAACTTTGCAAGTAAACCAAATAATAAGAATATTCTTCAAAACAAAAAATTACAAAATAAAAGAAATATACTATAGATTTGGGGTTCTTATTCAATTCCATCTACTAGCTATATGATCTTCAACAAGTCGCTTTATCTACAAATTGTTAAAGGAAAAAAAACCCCTAAAAATCAGCAAAACTAAAGTTAAAAGCAAAAAAAAAAATTGGAAATATATAAGGGAAATTTATGAAATCAAGGACCACATACAATTCTATTCTTCCATTTATTAGTGTGTATTCATGCTTCAGATGGAGGAAAAATTGTTAGTATTTGCTTAGTTTCATGTGCCTCATAAAATTAAAGACAAGTAATATGAATTTAAAAAATTGTCCTAAATTGTAGAATTCTAATTTTCTCTAATCAAGGCTATTTTAGAATAAATTAAAACATCAGTTCATGTGTGAGATGGGAATAATCTTACATCAAATTTCTAAGCTAAAAGGAATTAAGAACACCTAAGAGTTTTAGGGGGGGAAATGCAATCAACATTTCAAAGTATATGAACATAATTTATAAAGTTATTGATTCATCAGCCTTCATTTAAACAACTGGACAAAAGAAAAGATGATATAAAGAAAGGATATAGCCTTGACACACACCTTTCTTAGCTTTAAACAATATATTTTTTTCTTCTTGTTCTGTTAAGACAAAACCTTGCTCTAGATGTATTTTCACACGAACACAATAAAGTGTCCTGAGACTTCCATTCTTCTCAATGTTACCCATAATTTATTGTGATCCACAGAGTCAAATGCCCTTGCATATTCAACAAAACACAAACATCCTTCTGGTCTTTTCTGTTTTCAGCACAGATCCACTTACTATCAGCAGAGATGCCTGCGGTTCCAAGGCATGTGCTCAACCCAGCTTTAACTCCTGGAGTTAACAGTGTCTATATACTAGTCTAGCTGGTCTTGGATGATCATACAATACTTTGCTTGCAAGTGACAATCTTGTTACTTGATAAATTTTGCTTTCTTTTGGATGACCATTCTTGGAAATAAGAATAAATATAGGTCTCTTCCAGTCACTAGGTCAGGTAGCTGTCTTCCAAATACCTTGGCACGTATTGGTGAGCTTTTCTGGGCATGGTAGTTT